TAGATAAGTCACTCTCAGGATGAACTGAGGGCACACATATAAACTCAAAGTTACTTTTAGGTGTCCAAGGAATATGTTTGGCCTGGAAAGAACACCATAATCTGGAGATCTTAAATAATTTTATGAAGAAAGAATAGGTTAAAAAAGATTAGTAAGGAGGGAAACTAGAGAAGGGAGAACTAAAGATCAGAGAATGTTTATGCATGCATGCATTCATTCATTCAACAAATGTTTCCTGATCACTTACTATATGCCAGGCATTATGCTAGGCATAAAGATGCATGTTGCCCCTGCCTAACAGGAGTATTCAAACAAAGGTAAACATCAAATTATAATTTCATCTATGAAGGAAATAAATACTGATATAAAGAGAAAAGGGAAAATTTTGTATGTGTGTGTGAAAGAGAGAGAGAGAGAGAGAGAGAGAGAGAGAGAGAGAGAGAGAGAGACAGAGAGAGACAGAGAGAGACAGAGAGAGGGAGAGAGAGAGAACAAAGGGAAAAAGAAAGATAGATAAATAGATATATAGATATTCATAATGCTGGAGAGAAACTAGACATAGGAAATCCCAAGAGGATGAGTAGAGAAATCAAGAGATGAGAAACAGCGCATGTGACTGGTGCGGTGCATAGTGGGGAAAAGGGAAACCAGTAAAAATGGAGGTTGAGGAGAATGTCAACAGAAAATCATTCAGAGCCTTTTCAGCTGTGAAGAGGAAGGTGGATTTTCATCTGTTGTAATAGAAAGGCATTGAAGGGCTTTAGGAATAGAAGCGGCATTATCTGATTTATTAAAACAAACAAACAAAAAATCCTTACTATTTGTAATAGAGCATAACCATGGGGAATAAAAGAGCAGGCAGGAGAAATAATAAGGAGGCTGTTGCTGAGATCCACTTGAGAAATTTTGTAGCCTGAAGAAGGAAATGGACATGAACTATTGGATATTTCTACCGCTATTCTAAGAAGAGGGTCACCTGATCAGTTAACATGTCATGATTATTGTAGTCTGTTCAACAGGTAGATAGATCTCTGTACAAAACATAAATTCACTGGGCTCACATAGTTGGTGGTAATATCTATCATTGCCATAGGATTCATTCTTCTCCACCTGGTTTATATTGAACAAGTGACTTTCTGATTGATTCCTAAATTAAACCTTTCTTTCAACCTTCCCAGGGACTGTTAATTCAAAAATGTCAATATTCTAATTATTCCAAACATGACATTACTTTTTGTAAGTTTTTTTTTTTAACGATTTTTTTAATTGGGGAATTGGGGGATGGGAACAACTCTGGGGAATTGGTTGAAGGGGAACAGACAAGTTGCTGTCGTTTTGTTCTTCAGTCTAGTTGTGGAGGACACTGCTTCACTGGCCCAAGTTGGCACCATCATTGTGCTCTTCCCGGGCGAGGCAGATCAGTCGCCGGCTTCTGGAC